GGCGTAGGGCCTCCTTGAGCGAAGGGAAGGGCCGCCGGGCTATGCTCGGCAGCGCTGGGGCGAGGGGCCCCTGGAGCGCGGCGTGGCGTCTCTCCAGCTCCCTGCGCAGTTCCTGGCCGTGCTGACAGACTTCTGCTCCTCCAGGTGAACGTCCCGAAAACCCGCCGGACCTACTGCAAGAAATGCGGCAAGCACCAGCCGCACAAAGTCACCCAGTACAAGAAGGGGAAGGACTCCCTCTACGCCCAGGGTAGGGACGGGTGTGCTCTGGGGGAAGTTACATGAGGCTTGCATGGTCGTGCCCCGTGCCAGGGTCATGCTTGTGGGCTGAGCATATGGCTATAAGAGAAGGCGAGATTGTTTCTGATCGGTTGTGCATCTGCAGGTTGAGACCTGTGAGGGTCTGGAGAGAGCGTGAGTTGCATTTGTGGCATGTCTTGAGTTGTTGCCTAAACAGAGCTATTTCCTCCTGTAGGAAAAAGACGCTACGATAGGAAGCAAAGTGGCTATGGGGGCCAGACAAAACCTATCTTCCGTAAGAAGGTGAGTGCTGCTCCTGGAAGGAGGACCCAAAACTTTCTTGGCAATTCACATGCCCAGCTGAAGAGGAACGCTTGAGCCTCCTGCAGCCTTCTGGTGGTCCCGTGCTCAAGCCATGTTATGGTAGCTCTGTGCTGGTAGTGTTGTCTAGGGAGTGTAAGTTCCCCATCCACATCTGTTCATCTTCCCTGCTACTCCTGTCTCATGTAGATGTTCCTTTTTTTGCAGGAGTGATGCAGTGTGTGTTTGCAGAGCAGGTTTTGCAGGGAGCCTTGATGCTGTAGGGGAGTGGGGTCTTACTGGAAATGATACTTTTAATAAAAGTAGTGTTTTCCTTATTGCTTGCTAAAGGGTAAAAGTATGGCAAAGGGAAAGGGAGCCTGCTGCTTGCTTTTCTTATGTTCTTGAAGTGTCAGTAGTTTATCACTGAAACTTTTTGCTGGGTTTGTGAGGCTTTCTGCATAATGAGGCTGGCTTCACTGCAAGGATATGATGGAAACAAAGCGTGTGCAACTCCTAGGGGTATTGCAGAACACGACATAGTTTTCTTGCAGTCTGCTGTGTTCAGGGAAATCAATGTCCCTGAGCCAGTAAATGAGAGCTGCTGTGTTAGGCCTTTCCTGAGAGTCTCAAAGCAGCAGTGGAAGGGCAGCAGTGCATTCTGTTACAGATGAGTTGCAGAAACCTGCTGCTGTCATCCTTCCTCTTCAGTGTGGGTACCCAGGACTGTAGTCTTGCAGCATGTTTTTCCTCTGTGCCTCTATGTACCTTCTGCCAAAGACTTGAGGGGGGAGGGCAAAAATCTGTGGTATTTACAGCAGGGAAGCAAAACCTGATGGGTTGATTTGTTACAGGTTTTGTATGATCTGTTTAGTTAAGCTTATAGAGCTGCTTGGCTTGTTGCTGGAAAGCCCTGGTGGTCTGCTGGAGATGTTCAGGAAGTCTTCCAGCAAGAAGAAAAAAATGAGACATGTTTTTTCAAGTTGACTTTCTGCCAGGAAGTGGGGAGACCTTGCAGCAGAAGCGCCTGTTCTTTGGTGTGTTCACTGGCACCAGAGGTCTTCCAGCATGGCTGATCTCTGCAGGGGACCAGCCCTGCCCCACTAAATGCTTTTGCCAGTGTCTTTTATTATGAAGGTACAGATCCACTATACTTTTGTACTGGTCCTTAAGGTGCCTTGTTTTTAATGGAGGGAGCTGAACTGCATTGGTAGTCTTTTTCTTTACACTTTAAGAACAAGCTGCTGAATCTTCAGGAATGCAGATAAGTTTTTCCTGAGAGCGGCAATTTGTCTGCTTATGGACGCTTTTTTCATTGATGTGCTGTGCTCCTCTCCTCCCAGGCTAAGACCACAAAGAAGATTGTGCTGAGGCTGGAGTGTGTGGAGCCTAACTGCAGGTCCAAGAGGATGCTGGCGATTAAGCGGTGCAAGCACTTTGAACTGGGAGGAGACAAGAAGAGAAAGGTATGTTTGTGTACTGCAAGTGACTGAGAAAAGGTGGTGACATTCAGTGGTGAATAAACTCACTCTGTCTCTTCCTTCTTACAGGGCCAGGTGATCCAGTTTTAAGCTCCATCCTACTTGTTATGGACCTTATTAAAGTATTTGGAAGTGATCTGTTGCTGGTCTTTTGTATATCGTCTCTTGGTGGGGTGGGACTTGCAAGTACGTAAACCCAACAGGAATGTGTTGCTTGCAAAGTTGCTTAGTAAATGAACAGTTTGTAATCTGAAGGCTTTTGAAAAAACCCTGCCAATGGGCTGGGATCTTCTGACTGTGTTACTAAGAGGTGTTTTAGAATATATGTAGAGCCTGAGGCTCTGATGGATTTTTTGCACCAGTGGCTTCTTTGCGTGAGTGTTGCGCTGTTGCTTTTCTCCAGGCTTATGTGCTTCCATGGTAGAAGGCTGTCTTCAAAAAGGCCTCCTCTAATTTCTGCAGCTTGTTTCATTTAAACCAGTTCATGTTTCTATTATAGCAGTTTCATTTCGGGAATGCTATGGTGAAGGTGGATTGTTGGTAGATGAAGTAGTGATTGAAAAGAGGAAAAAAAAATCGAAGCAGAGCTGCCTGAGTATGCCTTTTTCCTCTCCAAGCCCTTGCCCAAGAGGAGAGGCAGGTAAGATTCCTTGCATCCAGCAATGGTTTCGACACAGAGTTGATTACCAGAGTAATCCAGACTCCTCTGAACAGCACCTTTACTTGGCTGTAGGCCCCTCTTTACAAACAGTGCCCTAAGGGGCATTGGCATGAGCAAAGGCCCTGGAGCAGCTAGTGAGTTTAGCACCAGGGGCTTCATCTGATCATGTGTCACTTGCACTATTAGGTGGTGGTTAATGTGCTGTGGCTCAGCCGTGGCCTGTGTGCAGTGTCTGTGAGTTACGGTAGCTCAGAGATGGGAGAGGGACAGCTTCATGCTGTTACACTGAGAGTATGATAGGCCTCAGCTGCCTGCCCCCTGGGTCTGACTGCTTTTGGCACCACTTCTTTGAATTTTCCTTAAAAGAAAAAGCCCAAGCACAGCATTTGAAACAAGTTTCAAATGAGCATTGACTGATAGGCAACTCTTGAGACTGTGGTATGTTACAAGACAGCCTACCCTGGGCTTTGAGGAGATCATCCACTTGAGGGATCAGTATGCTGCCTGTGAGTAGGAAGTCCACTGTCAGCAGATGCTGGGAATGCAACGTGGAACGCTCAAGAGTAACTCTCTTGTGGAAATAAAGCTGGAGGATGGAGAAATGCCTCTTCACATGTTTACAGGGACCAAGAGTGCTCAGTTACCGAACAGTAACAGAATTTGTGTTTGCTTATTCAATACTGGCAGATGTGATTGGCATTTTCAAACTGCTGCTGCTTAAGCTGTTAGCAGTAGTGGCTTTGGCCTCTGCCTGTGAGATGGACTATATGGCTGCATTGTGTCAGCTTTACTGAGCACTGTTTGTAGTAATTGTGACAAATTCCACAAGAACTGAGTGACTGGAACAAACTGGCCTGTTTTCTAAAGTCTGATTTTAATTTCAGATACCATGCTGTACAGTGGAACTAAGAAAAAGCTTAGTCTTTTTAAGGGACACTTTAATCAAAGTGTTTAATCACAGAAATGAGAACAAATCAAGTCACCTGGATTGTGTAGTAGTCATAATGTACTTCTATGTGATGGTTGTGTAAGCAGTTAAGTGTCCATTTCCCGTGTTGGAAGGACCTGTGTTATTCGACCTAAAGGCTACTGTCAGCAGTGGAAAGCAAGCACGCAGGTATTTCTGGAAGGCAGCTTACTGAGGAAGGGGACACCAGTGACCCCCTGAAGAGTGGAGAGGGAACTCATCTAAAGTGACAGCCAGTGGTGAGAGGAAGATTGCTGGGGTAAGGAGAAACCTTCAAAAGCCGAGTCCTAAGGCATGTTTATACTAAGCAGGCAGCTGTCAAGAAACCAGTTGCTAAGAAATGCAGTGATTTTGGCCAGTCCCTGAGTTGTCAGAAAGTGGAAGATGTCCATTCTCTGAAGAGAGTGTTGTATTTCTTCAGTAGGAGTAGGAACAGCTTTTCTTGGACTCTGTGCCCTGGCAAAGGAAGAGCAAGGCAGCCAGGGTGTTTCCCTATTGTCCCTGAAATCCTCAAGGAGAGGTGTAGGATGCTGTATGTATCCTTTGCATTTCTTTGGTTGGTAGTGGCAGTGGGCATTAACAGGAGTTTCTGCCCTGCTGGGGCCCTTATAGCCCCTTGGAGAAGGAGTCAGGTGAGATGCCAGAGAAAGGGTAAACAGAAGAGAAGCATTGCCCCTTTCTCTGTTATCTCTTGGTGACGGAGTGATGGGTATTTGCCACGTTAGGCTGAAAGTTCAAAGTCCACATAGAAGCACTTGAGTAGTGAATGCTTAAGGGGAGAACAAAGGCAATTTGCTTGGAGGAAGGAGACAGGCTTCTTGTGACAAGAAGTTTAGACAGAGTCTGAGGCTTATGAAAAGATTGTGCCTCCTATAGTGCCACTACTTTCAGCAGCACAGTGCCTGTTGGGTTCACCTCCAAGCTCAGGGAGGAGACCCAGCTGTAAACCCCCCAGTCCCTGCTGGCTGGAAGGACCTGCTGGATGGAGCATGCTGGGTTGCAGGCCAGCCCATTGCCAAGGAAGGTGAGGGAGAAGGTGAAGTTCTGGGGTCCCCCAATCTCCTGCTGGTTCAGCACTGCCACAGCATAGGCTTGGCCAGACAGGGGCCGCTCCCACAGCTCAAAGTTCTTGTCCTGCCAAGTAGAAAAATCAGGGCTTACGTTAGGGGAGGCAGAACTGATTTTCATACAGGTTTTCATACCTGTCTGTTAAAGCAGGATTCAGGAACAAGCGGGCTCACTGGGCTCCCATTCCCAAACCCTCAACACTCCTCTATGCTCCGTATGTCCCCTTTCTGAGGGGGCTGGCTGCCTGTGCCCCATGCCACATCCCCAGCCCTGCCATACCTTGGTGATCTGGTATCCCTGCTTGCCCAGCAGATCCTGGTTGATGGCAATCACCTCTTTGTTCTGGAGCAGCCACTTGGCTTCAGGACTAATGTGCCGCAGATCGTTGGACATGAAGAGGGGAGCTGCCATAATAGCCCACATTGCCATCTGAGTCACTGCCTGGTCCCAGCTCAGCCCAAAGTTTCCAATCACCAGCTGTGACAAGAAAACAAAAATGCCTGGTAACACTGCCTGCCAAGGAGAAACTGGGCCAACCTGAGCATTGGTAAATGGCAGGATGCTGAGGGTGGGACCCCTATTTGGGGACTGGTTAGATAGGCTGAGTGTCAGGAGCAGGACCAGCTGGTTCGGAAAGGCAAGGCAGACTAGTGCAGCAATTTAGGATGAACCACTGGTGGAGGTAAAGGAAGATCCTTAACTGGCTAGGCAGCATTTAAGAATCTGCTTTTGGATGCAGCTATTCCTTCCTTGCAATGCTGGCACCCAGCAGTTTTACCCTCTGGTGGGAGATCAGCACTTTGGAGACCGTCTCCTGCTGCCATGCCTGTGTTCTGAACTGGCACTGGTTGTACAGGCTGCATTACAGAGAGAGCAATTCCTTGGTACTGTCCATAGCTGTAGTTCTCTCTCCTTTTCCAGCCAGGGACCCCCTCAGCAGGTTCCTGATTCTAGGGCCCCATCAGAGCCCTTCCCCTCAGTGTTTTTCCCCCAATTCTCTCCCTCCCCATTCATCTCAGACTACAGCCAAGGAAAAGATTTTTTTTTTTGTTGGTGCTGCAAGGGAGGTGGGTGTTGCTCTACTTGCCATGTCAGGATCATTCCAGCCCCCTGGCCCAGCTATCTTCACAATGCTGTCTTGGTGAAGTGCTGTCCAGTCCAAAATACTCTTGATGCTGCTCCAGGAATCATAGACATCAAAAAAGTTCCTCCAGTGATTGCAGTACTGTTTGATCTCTGTGTAATTGGGCTGCCAAAACAATTAGTGCGATTAGCCAGAGAGCCTGACTGTACAAGACCAAGACCGTATACAAGGCTAGACTGGATCAGGGATAATGTGAGGGAAAACTATGGTAGCACCTTTCATCACCAGCTACCTGGATGAGCTAGTGTATGTTGGTCCCCTAGGATGCCTTGTGCCCAGGAACTCCAGTCTGCCATTCTCCAGATAACACTATTGCTTCCCTTGGGATAATAGTTGTGGCCACTTAGCCCTGTTAAAAAATTCCTTTGAGTGTTATTTTACTTTACGGTGTGATGGGACCGGTGGGATTAAACTGTGACATCAGTAATTACTGCCATTTATTGGGTTTACACCCTTTGGTGACTAATGCATTTAACTCCCAGTGGGAGGGAATGCCAGCATCCTGTCATGGTGGCACAGGGGAAGCCAGCTATGCGTGGAGAGAAACACGTTGGTCATGGACGCTGGCTGTAGAAATCTGTCGGTAAACATTGTGGAGAACTCCCATTAAATAGGCTGTCCTAAAATCTCTCTCCTGATCCCTAGAGGTAACTGTAAAGCTCACTCTGCAGCACTCTGCATCCAGGAGGAATAACACCAAACTGTCTGCTAGCTGTGTGTCTGTATTGCCAATGTTTTGTTGCTTGGTTCCTTGGAGACAGAAAGCAGATGGATGCTGCTGTGTTCTTTGGCATGCGTCAGCTGGGTTGTGCCTTCATGCTGCAGGATCCTACTGAATTATTTTCAGCAGAAATAATGTCTTGCCTCAGGAATGCTTCAGGGCTCTACAGGAAAAAGTGGTTTTCTTCCACCTTACAGTACTGTTCTCTGTCAGACCAGAGAGCAGCAAGTTTCTCACGAGGCTGTTTTGCAGTTTTAATGCTTTTCTCTTCTTCCCACTTTCAGCCCCAGGATAAGCCTTGAGAAACACTCCTTACCTGCTGCACAGGCCTCAAATAGAAAGGCCACTCACAGGAGTACACAATGCTCCTTCCAGTCTTGTTCAGGGCCAGAGACATGCGCCTGTAACCTAAAGGAAGAAGACAGAGATTACATAATCTCAGAGGAACTAATCTGATGTCACAGGTACAGGTTTCAGTTCAACTCTTACAAAAATCAAGGCTGAACACATTATTGTGGCTGAAACACCATAAGGAGGACAGGGGAGCTTATAGTCTGCAGTCTCCTGCCTCCCAAAGATAGGTGAGCTTCTTCACAGCTTTGCTACAAGTCATGGGCAGGCTTATTGCTCTGAGACTCTTTGTACATACAGCCATTGGAAGAAGCTGCAGTTTTGCTGTGTGGCATTTTTTTCTCTAGATACCTGGGATATACACGTTGGTATCTGTGAAGCTGCTTAGTACAGCTTCGCTGGGTAATGTTGCAGGAGTATGCTCTTATGAGGTATTTGCGCCGTATGGATTAGGCAGAAAGGCAAATGCACTATTTTTTTCCTGTCCTTGTCCCCAGGCAGCCCTGTTAAGTCCCTTTTAATCAGCAGAGAGGGAACAAAAAGTCCGTTGTGTTGTGTCCCCCCCCTCAAACTGCTTCAATACAACTGGATTGTATCTGGGTTACACATATGAGTCAACAAGAGTTTTCAGCTCAGCTGTCACTTATGGTGCTGAGTTGTGCTCCTGGCTGCGGCAGCTGGCATATGCACCACCAACTGGCTTCAATGGGATTGTCGTTTGAGCAGGTTCTCCCTTCCAGGCAGAGCCAGAACTGCGTACAGGATTCCTGCT